GGGGTTGTAGATTAGATTATCGAGTTAAAGCCTATATTATACGAAGGAGAGTTCACTTCCTCGTCCAACTAAAATAAAAAACCCAACCCAAAACAAACAAAAGCACCACCCAAAGCAACAAAAAAAACCCCCAACCAAACTCATTAAAGCAACACTCCACTTCACCCAAAATTACCCCTCAAAGAAAACGCCGACCTCCGCAGAACGCAAGCACTAAATGGCGTAATAATATTCTGCTGTGAGCAGAAGCACAGCGAAATGCGCCACAGAGTTTGTATAGGATGTACGACTACTGTGAAACCTCTCGAGTTGTGTCGCCTCTCTGAGATCTCTATGTGTCTTAATATCTGCTCCAATCCGCTTGGGTCGGGGGGCTCTCGTGTCCTAGAAGTTAAGGTGTTGGCCTCTCATTTAAAGGTCCCGGGTTCGCATTCGGGTAGCGACCGAAAAAAAATTATTCTCTAAAATTGTCTCCTTTCACCGCCTTTCCTGCTCTCTTATAATTTTCTGTTTCTGCTTTTGTCTCCACTTTCTTCCCCCACCCCTCATCTCCTTTGCCCCATCCACTGGGCTCCTGACTCTTTCTGCAGCCTTTCTACTGCTACTTTCTGCAGCCTTTCTACTGCTACTCCTTGGCTCCTTCTTACTGCTGTCTTTCTGCCACACCCCTGATCTTCTGGTAGGAAAGATCTACACCTAGCCTTCTCGGACAAGGGCAAAAAATTTGGGAGGGCCCGTGTGCAAGTTGCGCACGTTAAGGATCCATTGGTGGTCTTATGTCGATAGGAGTAGGCTTCTCCGCTACCCGGACAAAATTCAAAATTTCCAACCAACTGAAAAAGTTTAATGTGTCCCGCGCGCTCATATGTCCTTATGCAGTTGAGAGCGCCGTAAAACACGTACCCCCCAAAAAAATCCGCTCGGGTCCAGCTTTCTCGTAGGTCAACCTAAGAAAATAGAGCTTTCAGGAAAGAACACAGCCCCCCCCCGCCCTTTTCTTCCCCGACAACAAAGACAGACACAGGCCAATCAGGTCAATTATTCAGGGCAACTTCCGATAAACAACCTGAATTAAAATTGATGATTAAAGTAGAGTGAGTTCCCTTGTCCTTTGTTCCAGTTTGAGTACTTTATTCTAACTTGGCACGCTAGCTACTGTTTGCTTGCCTGATATTTGACTATATTTGTAATTGCTTATTCATGACCCCCCCTCCCCTCTTTCCTTCATCCCTCTATTCACTCACTGATCTACTTTTCGTGACGGTTATTATGGCTGTAGATATCTAATGCCCCCGTTGACACAATTGTAAGGCATCATGATGAAATCAGGCGCTCGTCAAAATAGAGTTATTAATAAAAAAAACCCAGACATTTTCTGGACGCTTGGTGATTTATTTTACGAAATTTCTTTCTATGGGCTTATCTAGACGGTGGTTGGCGGGTGCTCTGGTGTGGTTTGCTTCTTCTTTCCTATCAAACATCCATCGTTTTTATCCCCTCTCCTTCTTTTTTGTGTTTGTTGCTCCCATGTAACATCTCTTATCTTCGGCACATATATGACCTTATTGTGTAGCAAGTGCCGTTAAATTCTTTCTAAAACTAACTTTTTTTGGCTCAACTCCCTTTACGCCCGTCTCCCAG